TGTGCGGTGTTCGCATGTGTCCGCTGTCCTGACCGGGGGCAGGGCCACGTCCCACACATCTTTCTGCCTAACGTATGATGTGGCAAAGACACGTCCTGGTGCCTCTCCAGGGTGGGCACGTCTGTGATGCTGGGCTCTGTGACACCAAGGCCCAGGACCTGCTCAGCCCTGGGAACACGGAACAAGGCCCAGGACCTGCTCAGCCCCGGGAACATGGAACTGGAGGGGACCTTGAGGTGGCTGGACCAGCCCCTTGTCTTATAGACAGGGAGACAGCAGAAAGGGAGATGGAGTCACTGGCCAGGACCCCAGCTGTGAGTGGGAGGCGGACCAGGACTTGAGTGTCCTGACCCACCTCCTCCTTGTGCTGGGCCCACTCTCAGAAACTGGGTTTGAAGCAGGGCAGGGAGGGCAGAATGGCTGTGATGTGGTGAGGCTCTGTGTCCCCACCCAAATCTCACATCGAATTGTAATCCCCACGTGTCGAAGGAGGGAGGTGATTGGATCCTGGGGGCGGTTTCCTCCATGCGGTTCTCATGATAGTGAGTGAGTTCTCATGGGATCTGATGGTTTTATAAGGGGCTCTTCGCCCTTCGCTCGCTCTTGCTCTCTCTCTCCTGCCGCCATGTGAAGAAGGTGCCTACTTCCCCTTCAGCCATGACTGTAAGTTTCCTGAGGCCTCCCCAGCCATGCAGAACTCTGCATCAGTGAAAACTTTCCTTTAGAAATTACCCAGTCTCAAGGAAGTGTTTTTTTTTTTTTTTTAAAGACAGAGTTTTTGCTCTGTCACCTAGGCTGGAGTGCAGTGGTGTGATCTCGGCTCACTAGTGATACCGAGCCCTCTTTGTCCCTCTGCTTCCCAGTGGTTTCCTCTTGCACCTGGGACTTAGCAAATCCTAATGCATGTGGGGGCCAGCGGCAGTGACTGTAGTCCCCTTGGCAGGCGAAGGCCTGTGAGCAGCTGGTGCTATGTCTGGCATTCTAGGCAGCTCCTGGCTCTCCGGTGGATCCTCCTGTTGCCTGCTGGGCCAGCCTCAAGTCGGCCCTTCCAACTCTGTAAAACTCGGAAGCCCCTTAGGACAGACACTGTGCCACTGACCCCTTCTCTGTGTTCCAGGGCCCGGTACAATGAGGTGATCATGGAATTAAACAGAACAGAACCGTGAGGTGTCCACCAGGTCACGCCAGGATGCACTGGATCCACCTGTGATTTTGGCACCAGTTTAAACAGTGTCACCTCATTCTGTGCTTCTCCTGATGAGTCTGCCTTCTGGCCGATGTATCTCTGGGAGGCAGGTGCAGACCCCTCTTGACTATGAGCTCTGGGGACAGAGCTCTTTATGTAGCCAAGGTCTGGCCGGGCACGGTGGCTCATACCTGTAATCCCAGCACTTTGGGAGGCCGAGGCCAGAGGACTGCTTGAGGCCAGGAGTTTGAGAACAGCCTGGGCAACATAGCAACACCCCGTCTCTACAAAAAACAAATAAAAATTAGCCAAGTGTGCTTGTAGTCCTAGCTACACCAGAGGCTGAAATGGGAGGATCACTTGGGAACAGGAGGTCGAGGCTGCAGTGAGCTCTGATTGTGCCACTGCACTCCAGCCTGGGCAACACAGTGAGACCCTGTCTCAAAAAAAAAAAAAAAAAGTGGCCAAGGTCCTTTCCCAGGACGTCTCAAACAAAAATAAATTAGCTGGGCATGGTGGTGCACATCTGTAATCCCAGCTACTCAGGAGGCTGAGGTGGAAGAATTGCTGGAATCCGGGAGGCAGAGGTTGCGGTGAGCTGAGATCACACCAATGCACTCCAGCTTGGGCAACAGAGTGGAACTGTCTCAAAAAAAAAAAAGGCGGTTAAATATATGTAATTTAAAGGTTACCATTTTAACCATTTCTAAGTGTACAGTTCTGCGGCATAAAGTGTATTCACGCTGTTTGCCACCATCACTGCCACGTCACAGTCAGTTTTGTGTCATCTTGGTTAGGCGCCAGTCCCCAGGGACTCAAACACGAGGCAAAGTGTTGCCGTGAAGGTGTCCTGTGCGTGTGATTGACATCTACAATCCGTCCACCTTGAGTAAAGGAGGAGATCCTGAATGATGTGGGTGGGCCTTGTCTAATCAATCAAAGGCCTGAAGAACAAAAATGAGGTTTCTTGAGAAGAAGAAATTCTGCCTCAAAACTGCAACTTCAACTCCTGCCTGAGTTTTCAGCCTGCTGGCTCATCTACAAATGTTGGATTTGCCAGCCACCACTATTGATATCGATATCTGTATGTATTTCTTAATATCTGTATTTATATCCCTTCTTGGCTCTGCTTCCCCCTGCCTGTCACAGAGTCTGTCTGCTTGCCAGACTCTCCTACGGGAATGGAGCCCCCTGAAGTCAGGACTTGTCTTTTTTATAGCTGTATCCAGTCAGCTAGTGTGGCACACGGTAGGTACTTAATAAAAACACAGCTACTTTCTAATTTCTCCGGCACTCACATGGAAGTGGCTTGAACAGTAGACGCATGGGAGAGAGTTATTCCTGGCATCCTGATGGCCTGGTGTGCATCTCGGGTAATTCACACACTATCTTACCTTCGCCCTCTCCTTGTTAATATCACCCAGCCCTACCTATTCTAGGTGACTGCATTCACTCTGGTGAAGGGAGTAAGTTCTCTGGGAACCTTCATTTGCTGAATCAATGTGGCCACCTAGGGTTTCTGCTTGGATGTGTTCCTGACACATCCGCCCCAATCTCCAGCCCTGGGTGGATGGCTCCTCTTAAGTTCCCATTGCTCCTAGGAATCCGCTCTAGTCTCAGACCCACCACATTCATTCATTCATTCATTCATTCATTCATTCATTCATTCATCGATCCATCCATTCAACAATCTGTGTTCAATGCGTCTTCCCATTTAGCACTGGGGATACAGTGGTGAACAAAAGAGATGACACTTCCTGCCCTCATGGAACTTACCTTCTAGTAGGGAAGGCAGATTATACACAAGATAAATAAGGGGACTGACTATACTGAACGTTAGAGAATAACGTGTGTTCAGGAGGAAAAGAACTGCCAGAGGAGAGGAGGGCATGAGATGTGTGGAAGTCCTCATGCATTGGTCAGCTCTTGTTGTGATAATGCTACATAACAAACATCCCTAAGTTCCAGCGGCTTCCACCCACTCTCTTGGGTCTGTAGTTTGTTTGGGTGGCTCCGCCTCAGGCACTGGGTTGGGTTAGGCACACTCCATGTGTTACCCTTCTGAGGTTCAGACAGAGGGAATAGTGTCTATGTGGGCACAGCCTTCTCGAGGTGCAGGGCTCAACCGTGCACGCACATTGAACGCCTTCAGCTGGACATGGCCACATCTGCTCACACTCCATTGCTCAATGCAAGTCACAAGTCAAGCAACAAGTCACAAGGGTGGGGATACACACTCTGCCCATAGTGAGCCATGGCAGCGTCGCTCACAAGGTGGGTGCTGTGGTTCGAATGCTTCTCTCAAGAAGCCTGTGTTGGAAACTTATTCCCCAAGGCCACAGTGTTGGGAGGTGGGCCTAATGGGAGTGATTCAGCCCTGGGGTGACTTGGTGAGAGGCGGGGCCCTCATGAAGGGATGAGTGCTATAATCGTGAGAGTAGGTTTGTTATCATGAAGCTGGGTTCCTTACGAAAGGGTGCATCGGGTCCCCCCGCTCTTTTGCCCTCTCTTTGCTCTTCCACCTTCGGCTACAGGATGACACAGCAGGAAGGCCCACCTGCCAACTTCTCAGCCTCCAGAACTGGGAGGAAATAAAGTTCTGTTCTTTCTAAAGTGTGTAGTCTGTGGTATTCTGTTATAGCAGCACAAAATGGATTATGACAACAGGTTTGCGGTACAGACCTCAAGGAAATTAGTGCACCAGCCATGCAGAGAACTGCAGCGAGAGCTCTCTGCAGTGGAAACAGGCCGTGCAAAGGCCCTGAGGTAGAAGGGCACATGCGCCTCGGAGAACCCCAAGTGGCCAGCATGGCAGGAGCATTGGGAACAAGGGGAGGCTGGGGCTGGGTCTGTAAGGCACTGCAGGTCACCGTAAAGAATTTGGCTTTTCCCCTGGGTAAGAAGGGAAATCAGGCAAAATGTGGAGCCCAGGAGGGGCCTGATGCAATCCTGGTTTTAGGGATTGCCCCAGCTGCTGGGAGGAGAATAGACTTGGAGGCAAGGCCATACATAGGAACCCAGGGAGGCACGAACGGCAACCATCCAGCCAGGGGACAGTGGTGTTGTGAGCAAGCTGGTGGGGTGGTGAGGAATGGGTGAAGTCTGGACACTGTGTGCAGGTAGAGGTGACAGAATTAGCTGATAAATCGGGGTGGGGTGTGTCTCAGTCTGCTTGGGCTGCCATACAGAATACCACAGACTGAGTGATTTAAATTACAGAAATTTTTTATCTCGGTTCTGGAGGCTGAAAGTCTGAGATGAAAGTATCAGAAGGGCTGGCTCTTCCTGAGTCCTCTCTCCGTGGTTTGCGGACAGCCGCTTTCTCCCTGTGTCCTCACAGGGCCTTTCCTCTGGGCACACACATCCCTGGTGTCTCTCTCTCTTTTCTTATAAGGACACCAGTCCTACTGGATTAGGGCCCCCTGCTTGTGACCTAATGTAATGTTGATTACCTCCTCTTATCTCCAAATACAGTCACCCTGGGGTTAGGGCTGTGGTGGTTCATGCCTGTAATCCCAGCTGCTAGGGAGGCCCCAGGCACGAGGATCACTTCAGCCCAGGAGTTCGAGTCCAGCCTGGGCAACATAGTGAGAGGCCGTTTCTTTAAAAAAAAAAAAAAAAAAAAAAAAAAAGGAAGTCTTGCTCTGTTGCCCAGGCTGGAGTGCAGTGGCTTGATCTTGGCTCAATGCAACTTCTGCCTCCTGGGTTCAAGTGATCCTCTTGCCTCAGCCTCCTGAGTAGCTAGGATTACAGGTGCTGCCACCACACCCGGCTAATTTTTGTGTTTTTAGTAGAGACAGGGTTTCGCCATGTTGGCCAGGCTGGTCTCAAACTCCTGACCTCATGTGATCCACCCATCTCGGCCTTCCAAAGTGCTGGGATTACAAGCGTAAGCCACTGCGCCTGGCCAAGAATGAAGTTCTGATAGCTGGGATAAGAAAGCCTGTGGGAAGAGCCGGTTTCAGACACGCTGGGTCTAAGACACTGCATCTGACACTGCTCCGCATCCAAGGGGAGCCGTGGAGAAGCCAGCTGGGTGCGTAGGGCGGAGCCAGCGCACGGGAAATAGGAAGTGATGAGGTCAACCGGCTGGTCCAAGTGTGGACGGAAGTAGAGGATGCAAGCACCGAGGCCCAGGGGCCCCCAGCATTGGTGGGAAGGAGCCCGCGGAGGAGCTCGCGGTGCGGGAGAAGCAGGGGGCCGCGCATCCTGGAGGCCAGGTGGGGCCAGTGCGCCCAGAAGGGGCGTGGCCCGCCGACAGCCGCCCAGGAGGCCGGGGGAGGCCGCAAGCCGAGGGCCGCACTTGGCAACGTGGAGAGGCGTTTTTGGTGGAGTCATGGGGCTTGACTGGTGAGAACAGGAGGGGAAATTGCAGATGGGCTCCCGCATACTCAAGGACCAGGGCTGACTCATCGTTCACCGTGTGTGACCAGGGCCCCGTGTGGCCGGCTGTCACTCGGTATCCAGTTACCCTGGGCAGACCGCTGGTGGCACCCCCTGGCCAGAGGCCACAGGAACACACACACCTGCAGGCGACCAGGCCGGACTGCTCGCCCCGTGGGGAACTGAGGGCGTTTCAGTAACAGGGTGTTATGGGACAGGGGTTGGGTGGCTTGGAAAAGGCCTAGGGTGGGGTTTGTTTTAGATTGGGGTGGTGAGGGCGCAGCGGCCCAGTAGGATTCTCTAACAGGTCAGCAGTCACTCATTTAGCAAGAGGAGGGGCGTCCAGTGTTTCGTGGGCCTTGCGGTGACCTTGCTTTTGTGCTTAGACATGATTACGGGTGGCCTTGCTTTGTCTCCTTCTGCCATGGTCTCGTGGCACCTGTCTCAGCTGGCGTTCCAGGAGGTTGTTTACGTCCAGGAGGAAAGCAGAAGCCTGGCGCTGAGCATCAGGGTGGTTCTGGACGCCGAGGCCGTGCTGTGTTCCTTCTCATCACAGATGAGTTTCTGGGCAGTTTTCCCAGCTAGTGCAGACCCACACTGACTGAGAACCGAAATATTTGCACATGAAAAAATTAACTCCCGTGGCCGGGTGTGGTGGCTCACAACTGTAATCTCAGCGCTTTGGGAGGCCAAGGCAGGAAGATCGCTTGAGGCCAGGAGTTCGAGGCCAGCCTGGGCAACATAGGGATACCCTGTCTGTACATAAATAACAAATAAAAAGAAAAACAGAGGCCCTGCAGCTGCCTCTGAGCCCACGGAACTTAAGGGGGCCGTCTCCGAGGGGCCACACTACCTGCCTCCCTGCTCTTGGGGTTTTGGTCCATTCGGCCCACGTGAGAGCCAGGAGTGCCACAGTTGACATCCTCAGTGAGATCAGCCCCAGTTGCCTGCACCAACAACCCTCTCATGGAGGAGCCTTTGGTGGCTTTGCTCCTCACCCTGCCTCCCGCCCCCTCACTCACTCCTGCTTCCCAGGTCACCTTCCAAAGGCCCCACACCTGCCTTCTCCTCTCGATCCCCACCTTTGGGGGAGCTAACACCCCCCGGCAGCCCACCTCCCTGCTTTCCCTGAAAAGCACCGCTCTCCAGGTGTCCACAGGCGGCGGGGGATTGGGGGGCTTGTTAGCGCCTTCGCCTTGACCAGGCACGTGGAGTGATGGAGCCAGAGCCTGGCTCTGAGAGCGCCTGCTTGTGACCGCAGGCCCGGCCACCATGTCATTTCCCTTCGAGGCAGGACGGAACCGCCGGGGGTGGGTATGGTGGGCCGTCCTGCTCGGGAGCCAAAGGTAAACCAGCCTTGTCCTCAGGCCCAGAGCGATGTCCGGCCTCCTCGGCGAGCCTGGGTTGATTCCTGGAGACACCATCCACGCGTCATCTGTCACTAAGCACCCACTGTGTCCCACACCCTCAGCCATGTCGCCTGTCACTGGCGGCTTGAGCGTTCCCTTCCAGAGGGTCTGAAAAATAATTGTCCACTCAGAGGTCTTTGAAGGGGAAGCGAGTGCCCAGGGTGGGCTAGGACCGCAGATTGGATCTTGAGGACTGGCAGCGCAGCAGTGTTTTGTGCAGAAAAGCAAAGGGAGACGTTCCGCGCTCAGACCACACGAGGAGGGCAGCATTGTGGCGGGCTTGGCCCGGGCTCTGCCTCTGGAAGCTTCCAGGAGCTTCCTGTAACTTTCCGGATGGTGCCGAAGTTGCTTCCCCGGCACCCGGGTCGCCATGGTTTTGACTGTGGGGAGTCTGGAGTCCACTCAGGTGAAGCACTCAGGCCACCCCTGGTGTGGTGACAGCAGCAGCGTCACCGTCACGGGTGATGTGTCAACAGCTCCTCTCCCTTCTCCAGCACTTGCCTAGGAACTGTTCATTTCTCTGAACGCAGCGAATGCCCAGGGCTTGAGCCCCCCATTGCCTGCCTCCAATCATTCCTGGGTCAGGTGGGCTAAGAACAAACACACAGTGAGTGTTCAATCTTGCCCGGTGACTGACTGCCGAAGGCTCTGTGCAGCTTCACTCCGGATGTCTGAAAGGCCCTCACTGGGCTGTGCGGCGGCTCCTGCAGGGCCAGCCCCGGCTTCCTCCAGGGCACTGCCGGGAGAGCCCCAGCTCTCCGGGTAAACCTGTGGGATGTGGCCTCGGTGAGAAAGGGAATCACCCATCTTCACACTGACACTGAGCGAAGAAAAGGTAAAACCCACAGCAAAGGAACCACGTTAGAGTTACAAATGTTAACAGCGGAATAAATCCAGAGGAAAGAACAAAAGAAAGATTTGAAACCAGCCTGGCCAACATGGTGAATCACTGTCTCTACTAAAAATACAAAAATTAGCCAGGTGTGGTGGCGAGCACCTGTAATCCCAGCTACTCAGGAGGCTGAGCCAGGAGAATTGCTTGAACCCGGGAGGCGGAGGTTGCAGTGAGCCGAGATTGTACCACTGCACTCCTGCCTGGGTGACAGAGGGAGACTCCATGTCAAAAAAAAAAAAAAAGAAGATATGAGCAGAAATGAATGAAATAAAAAACGACATACTGTAGAGAGGATCAATGAAGCCAAAATCTAATACACTTGATAAACCACCCCAATTAATCAGGAAAAAGGTGGGGACAAATAAACCAGAAGAGGGATGAGAAAAAGAACAAACTGCCCACCACGATCGCGAGGCTGGAGGGGATCACAAGGGATCCGAGCACCCCAGGGGATGCTGCATGCCCGTGAGTGTGATATCTACACGAAGGAGGATTTTCTAAAAACCAGAAGTCCTATAGCCATTAAAAAATGGAATCAGTAGGAAATAAAAAGCCCCAAATAGAAAATAACATTCCCAGATGTTAACTGGTGAGTTTTACCAAGTAAGAACAGTTTCAATTTTATAGAAACTCTTCCAAAGAAAAGAAAATTAGAAAACATGCTTCCCTCTCCTCCCATTTTGTTCGTTTATTTTTATTTGAGACAGGGTCTGGCTCCGTTGCCCAGGCTGGAGTGCAGTGGTGCAATCTCTGCTCACTGTAACCTCTGCCTCCTGGGCTCAAGTCATCGTCCCACCTCAGCCTCCTGAGTAGCTGGGATTACAGGTGCGTGCCATCACATCCATTTAATTTTTGTATTTTTTGTAAAGGTGGGGTTTCGCCATGTTGCCCAGGCTGGTCTCAAACTCCTGTGCTCAAGCCATCCACCCTCCTCAGCCTCCCAAAGCACTGGGATTACAGGGGTGAGCCACTGCGCCCGGCCCACCCCCTGTTTTATAAGGCGGTTATAACCTTGGTATCAAAACCAGATAAGGACAATACAAGATAGATTTACAGGCCAGCTGCATTCAGAGCATAGGTGGAAAATGCTAACCGTAACAGAGCTGAACCCACCGTCCCATCTAGCGCTCCTGGGGTGCCCCCACCTATCCTGGTGGGAGCCTCAGGCTGAGCTGCCCCGATCCCAAGGGCTCTGCCACATGGTTCCCCGAAGGGGCCAGAAAGACACATCAGAAAGCTGGGGACGGGGTGAGGGAGGCCATCATCCTTTGGAGCAGATTTGGCCACCTGGAGATGAGAAGAGCCAGTTCTGCAAAGTACTCTCCCTCCCTTCTTCACCTCCCTTTCACTTCCCTGGGGTTGTACCTCCCAACAAAGCATCCACACCCAGACGTCTCCCCAGGCTCCCTCTTCTTGGAAACCTGAGCTAAGACAGTAACTAAGCTGGGTTGGTTACAGTCATGTGAGATTGGTTTAGCATTAGACAACTGATTCATAAAGTTCTTTGTATTAACATATTAAAAGAGAAGAAGATGTATGACCTTTTCAGTAACGCAGAAGCAATTTCAGAGAAAATGATATCTACGTAACAACCAGAGCAGCGAGCACCTTCTTTTTGGGTCATGATTCAGGCACATCAACTGTAAAAGAACATGTTTGAGACAATCAGGGTTATCTGACGAGGGACTAGGTTTTAGATGACATCAAGAAATTGTTAGGAATCCTGTCAAACACGAGAGGGAATTTGCGCTTATTTTATAAAGAAACGTTAGATTTGTAAGAGAGGCAACTGAAGTGCGTGGGGGTGAAATGACGTGGCATCTGCGCTTTGCTTTAAAATACTCCAGTAAAGAAAAAACCAAGAGAAGCGGGAAGCGGGGCAAAATTCTCCTAATTGTTGGATCTGGCTGATGAGTATGTGAAGGGCTCATTTTTCTGTGGTCTCTACTTTTGAGACTGTGTAAACATTTTCGTGATAAAAATAAACTCAATGAAGTAGCATTTGCCGCCACCGTAAAAGTGACACCCAGTGATGGGCACATTAAGGGCTGGTTGGCAGGGGGAGGGCGGGGCATCACTGGCTCTGTCCCAGTCACTCATGACCTGCACGTTCTGGCAGTGGTGAGCGCCCAGTGTGTGCTGTGGGACAGAATTGTCTCTCAACCCTCCCAAGAGGATCCTCTCCCCAACCTAACTCCAGCCTTGGAGGGCCTCGGGGGTCTGTGGCACACTCTGCCTGCCGGCTTTGTTCTGGAAGGGGCTGGGGGGCATGACCGGCCCCACGTTCCACTCTGAGGACAGCTCGGGGGTCTGCGGGGGACCATCCTGTCTAACCTGCTGACCTCGAGGGGAAGCAGGGCAAGGGCTTAGCTCAGGCACATTCCCTGCTGAGCCGCAACAATGCCGCATCCGCCCTACACAGGCGGATTTGTGTGTGAGCCCCAGGGGCCCTGGAGTGGAAAATTGCAGCGCCGGCCTTTGTGGGGCAGACTGCTGGCGTTATGGGAATCCTTTAGATGAAGTGAATGTCGCCTTTGTGTGAGGGGCTGGCATTGAGCTCGGGTGCAGCGGAGCGGCAAATCGCTGAGGACAGGCTTAAGCTAGGCCGCGGAAACAATGCGGGGAGCGGAGGAGCCATCGCAGAGGCCGGGAAAAACCTCCCGACAGGTTCCATCTGCAGAGACATTCGAGAAAAACGACCTCCTAGACAGTGGCTTACACACCCCCAGGCACACACACCACGGACACACACACCACACACCACAGATATACCCCACACACACCCCACACCACATATACAACATACACATCACACACACCCCACACACATCACACACCAGATACATCACACACATATCACATACACCACACAGACACACACCACAGATAAACCACACACACCCCACACCCCACACACATCACACACCAGATACATGACACATCACATACACCCCACACACATCACACACCAGATACATCACACACACATCACATACACCACACAGACACACACCACAGATAAACTACACACACCCCACACCACATATATAACACACACACCACACAGACACACACCACAGATAAACCACAAACACACACCACACACACCACACACACATCACACACCAGATACATCACACACATATCACATACACCAATCCCTTCCCTCCTGGCAGTGCATTAGCCAGCCCACTCCCAGTCACATGCCCCCTCATCCTTCCTCCTGGTGACCAGCCAGCCCTCCCCAGTGCAGCTCCTCCCTCCCCATCCTTCCCTCCTGAGGGTATTGTGGCCCCTCCCCAGTGCGCTCCCCCTGTCAACCCCCTCCATCTGGGGAACTTTGTGCAGGGCTGCCTCCAGCCTCGGTGTACAGGGCTTGTGCTGCCTTGGCTTGACACATACCCCACACACACGCCTGAAACACATAAACCTGAAACACACACACACCACACACGCCTGAAACACACACACACCACACATATGCCTGAAACACACATACACCACACACACACGCCTGAAACACACACACACCTGAAACACACACACACACCACACACGCGCCTGAAACACACACACACCACACACACGCCTGAAACACACACACACCTGAAACACATACACACACCACACACACATGCCTGAAACACACACACACGCCTGAAACACACACACACATGCTTAGACCTAAAAACCTATAAAAAGCAAATAATGCCTGTAGTTTATTTGTACCAATGTCAGTTTCCCAGGTTTGAAAATGAACCTACAGTCGTGGCAGACGTTGTTAGTGGGAAGCTGGGAGAAGGGTACAAAGGACCTATCATTTTGGCAACTTCTTGTGAGTAGTAAGTTATTTCCAAATAAAAAAGTTAAAATAAGCAAATACTGACTCCAAAACAAAGATTTAGGTCTATCTTTTCAGAAAGGCTTTACTGGGGAATTTCATTGCCTTTCATCTCTCAGCTTCTGACCACAGGAGACAAAAAAGTGAAGTGCTGACCTCAGGGCAGAGACTCCTTAGACCAGGGACAACGGCTGCAAAGCGCAGGCGGGATGCCTAGCCCTGCACAGAAAATGTCAGGCACGTGGCGGACACAGAGCCCGGGCAGAGGCGCTGTCAGCTGGGCTTGTGATGCTCTGCCCTGCAGCCTCTGGCTGTGCAAACCCTCAAACCCTGGTCCAGGTGGTTTCCTAAACGGCCCTCATGCCCCCGCCATCCTCCCCAGGGAGAGGCCGATGACACCCCCTTTCTATCTGTGCCAAGCACAAGCTAACCACGAACTCATCTGGGAACACGCATGGTTCACAGCGGTGTCCAGACCTGCAACCCCTCCCTGGCCGTGCAGTTCCAGTGACTCCCCGTGGCTCTGACCCTGAGCCTCCTCCTCAGCACAGGCACCTGCGAAACAGCCAGGCTCCTTGGGCCCCGCCCCCCAGGAAGCAATCCTGAGACCTGGGGTGCACCCAGCTCCCGGAGGTCCTGTGGCATGGAGGGAGTGCCACATTTGCAGGGAGAGCCGCCCTGAAGGCCCAAACAGGCGCCAAGAGGAGTCCAATCGCGCCCTTCCCAGGGAGCAGAGGGCAGTCCTGCCAGGTGCCCAAACTGTACAGGGACCAGGGAGGCTCCCCCGGAAGCAATTCTTGGCGGAAGGGAACCAGGCTTGGCAGGGTGCAGAGAGCCAGGGCCAGGTGGAAAGTCAAGTCCCCGGGTGACAGCGCTGGGCGTTAGTTCATGAGCTCAGTTCAGGCATCCGGCCAGCCAGGCAGGCAGAGGCCCGCCTCCCTGCAGCAGGTGTGTTGACTTAGCACTAGGCCTCGGTGGCTGTGAAGTTACCTGAGAAGTTTCTAGAGGTGGTCAGGGCCAGGCCCAGAGCACTGAGCAAGATAAAGGATCCGACTTGCAGGGATAGCCCTGGAGCCCCTTATCTCAAGGACTCCCACTTCCACAGCCCAAGAGGCTCCTGGGAGGACACCCTGCACTGTCCTAGAATGAAGCCCTAACGCCTCACCCACCTCTGCAGCACCTCCCTGCAACCCTGCTATTCTCGGGGGCCCTCTGACTGGAGACAAGCGGCGTAGGCTCTGCATCTCAGGATGGGGGTGTCTTCGGAGGATGAATGAGGCCTGTGTGAGGTGCAGGTGCAACACCATTTTACAACCTGGAGGGCATCGTCTCCATCTCACGCCCTAGAGTTAGGAACTCACGGAGCCCTCAGGAATCCGGCCTGTCTTTCCTGCCCACTCTACCCCCCAGCAGCCGCTCCCGACCTCACCGGGCCTCTCACCCGCTGCTCTCTCAGGTTTGTTTTGGGGGCAAGAGCCCATCCTCCTGGCTGCCCACCCATCTGCTTGGTCTCCTGAGCTCCCAGCACTGAGTGTGTTCATCTCTCAGACCTTCTGGGTTTGTCAATTGTCACTTCATGTATTGCTGCACTGAGAGTGGCTCTACCCAGCCACCCCACCTGTTCTGAACTGTAGATCAACAACCATAAATGCTGGTAGTGGTGTACACAAAATAGGAATCATAATCCCCGCACTTCGGGAGGCTGAGGCAGGCAGATCACCGGAGGTCAGGAGTTCAAGACCAGCCTGGACAACATCTCTGTTAAAAATACAAAAACCCGCTGGGCGTGCTGGCACGTGCCTGTAATCCCAGCTACTAGGGAGGCTGAGGTGGGAGAATCTCTTGAACCTGGGAGGCAGAAGTTGCAGTGAGCTGAGATTGTGCGACTAGCACTCCAGCCTGGTGACAGCGAGACTCTGTCTCCAAAAAAACAAAACAAAAAAAGGAATCAAACATCTAAGAAGCACATTCTTTGATCTATCTGTTCTCCTCCAAGGAGATTACACTAAGGAAATAAATATAATCCTAAGGCTTAGTGAGCTTGATTTCAGTTTCGTGCTGGGGTAGGGATTTTTGTTTATTTGTCTTTTCCACTGATACAGCTTCTGCACATTGAGTGTATAGTATTTTCTACTGCAGTTATTTAAAATGAGATAACTGCAAACGTGTATCTACCCAGTAGAGGGCTTACAAAATGATGGCTTCTTCACTGAACAGTCTGTGCCACCAGAAAAACAGCCCACTGTGGAAAAATGTTTAATGCCTAGGGGAAGTCTCCATGACCTAGAGTTAACAGAAAAGTGCAGGCTGGGCCGGGCGCGGTGGCTCACGCCTGTAATCCCAGAACTTGTGGGAGGCCAAGGCAGGTGGTCACTTGAACCTAGGAGTTCAAGACCAGCCCGGTCAACATGGTGAAACCCTGTCTCTCCTAAAAATACAAAAATTAGCTGGGCGTGATAGTGGGCGCCCGTAGTCCCAGCTACTTGGGAGGCCGAGGTGGGAGGATCCCTTAATCAGGGGAGATTGAGGCTGCAGCAAGCCATGATTGTGCCACTGCATTCCAGCTTGTGTCTCAAAAAATTAAAATAAAATAAAAGAGAGTGCAGGCAGGGTCCTGGTCACTCACCTCCAGCGAACGCACATGCACAGCCACAGACCGGGGAAAGCATGTGACCTGGGCACATTTATTTATTTATTTTTTCCGGAAATACCTCGTGAGCATCCACTGTCTTGCCAGGCGCTGGGCTGCAGCGTAGGGAGGCCTTGGCCTCAGAGCCTCATCTACACGGCATGCCCCCACCCCAGCTCCTCAACCCACAGTGACTACAGGGGGGCCACACCTCCTGTCCTCCTGGCTGTGTGGTATCCAGGTAACAAACTCCTGCCCTGCAGGTTACGGATCAACCCTCTTGTGATCAAAAGCAGGACTTACGGGACAGTGTGGTGATGCGGGGACTCAGAGGCAGGCCGGCCCAGCTGCCAGGTGCACCTGCTCGGGGCATCGGGCCGGATCCACAGGAGCTCCTTGGCTTCCTTATCCCCTGGGAGCCCCTTCTCCAGGCTCCCCTGCGCCGAATGTGGCCCTGAGAGGTGGGGGCAGCCTGTGGGCCCCACTTCTGCCTGGGGGATCTCAGAAGGCATGCTGGGACCTGGCAAAGCAAGGAGAGAGGCATCGGTTCAGGCTCGGATGCTGTGGGGTCCAGCGAACCCTGCTGACCCTGTCCCCTCCGGGCGGGGTGCTCTGCTCCCTCAGAGAAGCCCAGGAAGAATTACACAAAAACACAGGCACCAGCCTTGTGGGCAGCCACTTGACCATGTCTCCTCCATAGGCACATACAAAAAAAAAAAAAAAAGGGAAACAGAGAGTTGCTTGGGCCGGGTGCAGTGGCTCACGCCTCTCATCCCAGCACTTCGGGAGGCTGAGGCAAGAGGACAATTGAGTCCAGGAGGTTAAGACGAGCCTGGGCTCCAGCCCTGTCTCTATTTAAAAAATAAAACAACAACAACAAAACAGATGCTTGCACACCCATGCTCACTGCTGCACTATTCACAAGTCAAAAGGTGGAGGCAGGCAGCCCATGTGTCTGCGGATGGATGGACGCACACGATAGGCTCATACACACACTAGAATATTTACTCAGCCATGAGAGAAACGAATTCTGGCACATGTTACAACACGGACGAACCCTCAGGACATGATGCCAAGTGAAACAAGCCAGAGACAAAAGGACAAATGCTGTGTGATTCCACTTCCACGATGAGGCACATGGGACCCTCGAACGCCCCTCTCTGTCTGGCAAATTCATAGAGATAGAAAGTAGAACAGAGGCTGCCAGGGGCTGGGGTGAGTGGGGAAGGGAGGGTGATTGTTTAATGGGTGCAAAGGTTGTGTTGGGGATGACAAAAATGTTCTAGGTGGAGATAGTGACGGTGGTTGCATCACATTTACAAACGGTTACAGT